GTCTTCACAACCCACGACTACTACTTCATCATCTTCTGTTGCTTCGCCGCTCAAGTCATTCACGCCGTCCTCCCATCCCGAACTTGGCGCACCTCCTGGCGCCGAGTTTGTCCATCCAGAGCTGCAGGAAAGTTCACCAAACTTCCCTTTCCTGGACCGTTCTGGCTCGTCAAGCGATTACATCGATTTCAATCTGTACTCGCCCGAGTCTAGCTTCTCCGAGGATGAGCGCATGCTGCCGATTTGCGCCTCGACTAGCAGTTTGCCAAGCCTGAATGAACCCTCACTCTCTGAATGCCCACCTCCGCTGTATGAGACCGTACCCGACGGCGAGGCAAACGAGTGGGACGGGCCTGGCCTGTCTGTAGATGAACTCCAGTTCCACTCTGCCAACGAAGGCGTTGGCGGTAGCGGCCACAGCTCATTGAGCAGCAACAGCAGTGGCCAATTTGCTACCACGAGCCATGTCACCGCGGGCGAATCCGTGAATGAGTATGGCTCCAGGCTGAACAGGGTTCCTAGTTCCGAGCCGCTGAGCCAGGTGGTCATTTGTGTTCCCCCGGGCACGATTGTTGTCGCGGGAGATACCTCACCGGGTGGCCAGAACCTAGACAACGTACGTATACGACCGCACTGTCCATTAACCATTGAGCAACCGCTAACTTCTCGGAAGGTATCAACTGGCTTGGATTCATCTGTGGTATCTGCATCCATTGATGTTGGAGCAAGCGTGGTACAAACGGCCGCGTTCATGTCCAATCTGGCAGTGTACGTGATGGCCGCAGCCCTGACTGCGATGCACAGCGGTGTTTTGCCCCGTAAGCGGTCCCCCGCGGCGTCGTGTCGCGCCATGTCGGGACGCTCGTCGCTCGTGCTGGATACCATGTCACCTTTGTGTGTAGCCTAGCATGGGCCCTGCGTCGGTATTGATTGTGTGGGCAAGAATGGGATTGCCAGCGAAGCGTGTTTGTTTAGAAGGCGAATGATTTCATGAAGCCTACTGATTGAAGGGCCATCGGAATTATCTAGCCTCAGTGTAAGGAGGGTATTCTATACACTTCAAGATGTTTAGCATTAAGCTCGCCGGCGTTGGGACTTTTCATTTCATAGGGCATCGTAGATAAGGATGCCCGCAGGGTGGTGCTTGTGAAGGGGAAGACAAGTGGAGCATCAATGGATAAATCGACCAATGACTAGTACAGTTTGTGGCAGAATACAATACTCCGTATATGTATGTACATTTCCCAGCCGAGCACTTGAGAAGTACGTATGCACCCATCTGCTATAAAACATTACAGTATGAAGTGCGATACCTACTTAAGTACCTAGGTACCTAACCTAGGTAGGTACATGATGTGGTTAAATACAGTTTACCTCCCACTGTTAATCTGCCAGTGCATTCGCTGATCGACATTTACCACCACATTATCCACTTGTGTTTATAGAAGGCCACCGCAGGCTGTGTTATCTGCATACACTTGCGACGTATGCAGTTGTGCGAGTCTTGAGATCTCCTAGAGACCTGAATAGCCGCGTTGTGTACATTCCCGGCAACGGTGGCGTTGGGTGACTTGAAAGTGGGCTTCTTCCTCCCATTGTACTTGGCATGCGGTGCGTCGGTCGTGTTGCAACCTTTGTGATGGATGAGGGTAACAGAAGTCCTGTGCGAGAAAATTGACTATAATGGCTTAATTTTAGTAATAGGGGATATGAAGCCACAAAACGCTTGTTTTATGAGGCCGGATCTATTCTTGGCAAAGTTGCATTGTCAACGCTTGAAAGGCATTCAGTGTGGGTCGCTGGTCATGTGATGTGGATTTCCTGCCATGAGAGGAAAGGAATTTTAAGAAGCAAATAAGTGAGCGAGTACTACAAGTCTACGACGGATATCAGCGGTCGCTACTATTTGTTTGAAACTGCCGTTTTATGCTAACAAAGAATACCTTGCATGTGTCTTGGGCTGTAATTTTCGGCATCATTGAATCGGATACACCTGCAACTGTTCATAATCATAGGAACCTGCGACGCAAGACGTCAACTTATTCACAGAAGCAGGAAACCGGTGTTTGGCGTTCGCTGCTGGTGTATCTGACTGGCGGTCCCATAAGTTGTGAAGCAGGCCGTAGCAGGCGGTGTATTGACAAAGTCCGTGGGAGGCAACGGCTGTGTAACAGATGCCCTCTCTGTCCGGCTCGTGTGGCTCGTGACTACGACGCGACTCCGGTTTGTTGGCGCTGTAGGACCTGCCAGGACATAGCTTGAGAGGACGCTCTCTCAGATTCAGAGTCAAAGGCGGCAGTGCCTACTCTCTGTTGAGTTGTCAAAGCTGAGACGGCTGAAGAGTCGAGCTCCGACTGTTGAGCAGGGAAAAGGTGCTGACTCGTGGAAGCAAACTTGGCTGCCTGTTGAAGGCCGTGGGGTACTGATGCGATTGGATTGGAATGGGAAGTGTTTCCAGGAAGTCTGAAGCTTATTCTGGTGAAGGAAAAGAAATTTGGCAAGTTTGCAGCAGGAAAGGCAGAGGGCTTGGTTGCCTGTGCCATTTTTAGGTGCAGACGATCTGAGAGAAATCTGAGCGGAGTCTTTCTGACAGAGGAAGGGGGAAGGAGCGATTCACTCAAACTCTGAAGCCGCCTTCCGATGCCGCTGCTTCAGTCTCTCGGGCTGGCACCTGCCACAAATGCCATTCGCAAGCTGTTTGGTCGGTTGCTACCCAAGAAAGAAAACGAAAAGGGCGGATTGAGGGTCACGCCACCCTCTCATACAGAATCTGAAGCAGAGAATTTGGTCCGTCATTCACCGCAGCTGCAGACCTCGCCTACGGACACCGACACAAACGCGTCAAGACGGCCACAACCCTCACAAGTCACCATCCCGCACATCAGCAACTCAGACATCATGGCCGTCGCTGACCCGTGGTTATCCCAAGAGGACAAGGAGAACCGTCCGCCGGAAAAGGATGACCGTGCAGACTTGGTTGCGCCCTTCAAGAAGGTGGCCATTGACTCACATACTCTCGCTATTGCTGATGCAGTTGATGCCAAAGATGTCGAGGAGGTCATCGAGGACCCCGCCGTTTTGGCCGAACGGGCTCACCATCTGCGGTTTATCGAGGAGGCCCTTGACATGGTAAGAAAAAGATGCATTGACGCTACCAACTTGCCATCGACAAATTGAACGTTTTGCTAAGCTTTCCAGGCTCGTCTCGCCTTGCGCACAAACGAAACTCCCGTGGGCTGCGTGCTCGTACACAATGGCACCGTCATCGCAAAAGGCATGAATGCCACCAATGTTACGCGCAACGGCACCCGGCACGCAGAATTCATGGCCATCTCAGCACTCTTATCCCAACCCCCACGAAATGGCCCTCGCCAGACGTCACTGAGACCAAAGGACCTTCCCAGGCCATCGCCCAAGACACCTGACGATGCTTCTGATACGAGCTCAGTCGAGTCAAAGCGCCCAGACGAGGGCAACGAAGACGGGAAGAAGGGCCATCTATATCCATACGGTCAGAAAATCCATCCTGGAGACAGCGTTAGCCGCGAGATCATTCGTGAATGCATTCTCTACGTCACTGTTGAACCTTGTGTGATGTGCGCGTCTCTCCTTCGTCAGCTGGGTATTAAAAAGGTATATTTTGGGGCTGTCAATGACAAATTCGGCGGTACTGGAGGTGTCTTCAGCATTCATGCCAACTCTCTCCCGGTCAGGGAAGACGGGCAAACCGCGAGCGCACATCCTACTCCCCGACCATCGCAGCTTCCGGATGGCAGTGGAACTTTGGGGACGTCGTACCCCCCCGGCGGAGGAGACGGTGGCAATGTAGAAGAGGGATATGAGATTGAGGGGGGTTGGGGTCGCGATGAAGCCGTCGGGCTCTTGAGACGATTTTACGTCCAGGAGAATGGACGAGGTATGTTTTCTGCTGCGTTCGTTCTGGGAGCAACAAATCCACTAATATTTGACCAGCGCCCGTACCTAGAAAGAAGGAGGGAAGAGCAGCTCGGTTAGCAGCAATGATGGAAAAGGATGAAGAGGCCGATGTTGATACTGCCGCCGTCGATGGGGGCCAAGAACAGGACGCGGGGCGCCAGCAGGAGGACGCTGTGGATGAAAGCCATGACCCAAACATGGCCGCGAATGATGCGCCGGAAACACCGGCCGATTCGGCTTGGGCGGTTGCATGATTTGCTTGCTAAGATGGTGCTATGCTTTTGCAAAGGTATGGCCGTGGAATAGTCATTACCTATTTGGACCGGTTTTGTTTGATACCCGAGTAGAGGAGATGAAAAATGGACCGGGCTGGGCTATGTAGAGCAGAAGGGCAACCTACTGACAAGGATGGACGGTTCAAATGGATGGGCATATGGCAAACATGCGCTTTGGTGTTTACGGATGTTTCGTGTGGTATCATGACTCATATAATGACAGATAAGCAAGTACCTAAGTGCTAGACAAATTTGATCATTATACTCTCCTTAATGGGGTGTCCCTGCGATATTGCCAGCTAGATGCATTGGAAAATACCAGCGTGTATCTCAACACACCCTCCACCAGATGCAGCACAATGGGCATTGACAGCTGGGGCGGCAAGCCGCTGGCTCTGTGATGATCCCGCGGGGCTTCCAGAGTCGGCGTGTCGTTCCAAGGCCCAAGACCAAAGGGCTTCTGGCTGAGAGTGACGTAAACTTGTGGGCGGCTAATGAAAAGATGAGTCGTGTTGATTCCACACTGTGGAGGGCAAAAACGTGGAAAAGAAGAAGGGAAGGAATAAAGCGAAATGGTTAATTGGGCTCACCCTGTTCGTCAGTTGATTGTTTGTCCGACACCACTTCTTGAAGTAGGCCTCCGGAAAGCTCAGCGACGGGGTGTGGCTGCACTGGACGGTGATGGCGGACCCCTGGGAAATGTCAATGCAGCAAGATGATACGGCGGCCGGAGTAGCAGCTCATCTATCTGGCCTTGGCAGGGTGTCGACGTCGGGCAGATAGGCGGGCTCAATTCCTGGGTTCCGGGTACCGTTCTCGCGACAGCCCATTCGTCGCCGTGCCGTCTGCCGCGTCGAGCTCCGTCTTGGCGTCCGAGGCGCTCGTGATTTGCGCGCCGAAGTCGCGGTGTGGAGAGGCACGGCTCATGCGGGAGGAGCAGCGCGAAGCCTGCGCGCCGCTCCTTGTCCCGTCTTGTTTGGGGATGGCGAGTCGGAGGGTGCGCACCCCGCGCTGGGCCATGGCCTCGAGCAGCCTCCCGGCGACGGCTTCGTCATCTGGGAGCTCGTCGTGGGCGGCGCGGGCCCGGCCCGGCCTTGGATGCGGCCGGCTGTGTCGGAGAGGGGCGAGAGGACGGCGTGGAGGACGTCCCCGTCGGGTTCGCAGGCGATGGGGCGCCCGAGGGTGTCGGAGAGTCGCTTGGAGGGCCTTTTGGGGCGGGGAGTCGGGGGAGACCCAGGCTTGGCGGATGGAGAGGCGCACTTTGAGCGGCCTTGGTGGTGATGTCGGTTGGTTGGGGGGGCTTGGTGTCGTTGGCCAACTTGCAGCGGCATCTGGTGCAGGCGTAGGACAAGGGTTGCGTTTGGTGGTGCTGGGCAGGAGTTGAGTGAAGGAGTGGTTGGACGGGGAGCTGGATAGTTCTTTTGCGTATTGTGTGTCATGGGAAGTCTTTCTCGTGATAGAGTTGGCCAGCCTCAACCTCGGCCCCCCGCCCCTCAATCCGTGTATCCGTGTCATCACCACCTACGCAGTCACGCATCGTCTCGCCGAGCGGTTCTCAATTCGCCAAGATCAAGGCCGTTCCCGTGAGCGTTTTTATGCCATCACCCCAGCCCCGTGAGTCTCGGCTCGTCTTATTTTTCCTACCTTTTGTCCCTGGCCGTGTGCTGAACGCCGAGCTTCTGGACAAGGACCTCTGGATGATTCTCTCTGCCTCGTGCCTGAGCGGCGCTACGAGCCGAGCATGGTTCCTCGTGTGCTTCAAGGTTCCCTCTCCCAACGCCCCGGTAGCCGAGGCGTGGTTTGCGTGCGCTAAAAAGGGAAAAGACCAGGTAATACGGAGTAGTCTCTTAAGAATTGAGGCTCCGTTAGGGCAATACAGACCAGTTGACCTCCTTGCCCGCCGCGGTTTACATCCGAGACCATCACCGCCCAGCGTTGTCAATCACCGAACCGTAGGACCGCGGAATCCATCAGCGATGAGTTGAGTTGCTGCGGCTTTGTTATGTCGCTCTACACGTGGTGTGGGAATACATGGTTTTGACGGCTCTCTTGGTCTTTAATTTGACCGTGTCCTAGGGTGGGCCGTCGTTGAGGCATCTACGCGGGTTGCAAAAGCGTGGCATCCCACGAGCAGCAAGTAAATTGTGGGCGGGCCGCGTCTGAAAGGCTTTCGCTGTTCAAGGCGTACAGATGCCAACGCCGAGGATGCGGTCCGCCTGGACTAACAATACCAGGGCCAACCCTCTTTACCGGCATACAATGGTTGACATGCCGTTTGCACGGGTTGTCGGGCGGGCAACGCAGGGCGATGAAAAAGGGGGGGCCGCCTTTTATCTCGCCGCGACGGACGGAATATCCCGAAGACTGGGGTCCCCGCCCCGATGGCCCGCGCGGGGAATTGGCCCGTCGCCGATACCCGTTGGCAACTAAGCGGCAACATTGAAGCCGACCGCAGGCGGCCCGCGGCACGGTCCCCGAACGGCCCTCGGAGCACTGGGTAAAATTGAAAACAAAGCTCAAAAAGGCCAGGCTCGAATTTGATAGTAAAAGGCCCCTACTCCGTAAAGGGGATAAATTACGGGCTCTAGCTCTCTCCGCTTTGCCTGTTCCTCAAGGCAACTCGCTCGTTGACTTTTGTGGCCAACCAAGTGGCTCGTCCCCTCAATCGCTGACGGGTAGTATTCCGGCCGACCGCACCCTCTCACAGGGCTTAGCGCAAAACAATCGCGCCTCCAAACCATAATTCAACACATGGCTGGGTGGAGAGAATTTGGCAGCCGCAACGATGGAGCGTGTGGAGGCTGAAGAATTCTCCGTCGCAAAGCAAATCGACATGGACGAGCCGCGCAGTCCGTAACAAGTACGTAGCAGATGATGATTCAGTGTAGGACCGATAAAAATTGCCGTTGACAGGACCGAGAGTCCGGATAAGGCATTTCTAGGTACCGCCACCACCGCGGCCGGAGATTCTGCACCGAATGGATTCGCCTTGGATATCATAAGTGACGTTAAACTTGGCGCCCATGACGCCCAAGTTGCTCAGCCGTTGGACATGTACGGCCACCCGCGCCCAGTTTTCGCCATGTGCCATCTTGTACGCCGTGAAATCCACCAATAAATATAGGCAAGCCATTGGGGGTTTGATTTTTCAACGGTGTACTCTTGTGCGGCTCTGTCTTGTCCGATATCAAATCGAGCTCGAGGAGGCTCGTGTGACGCTGGCAAGCATCTCGCATGTGCCCATCATCGCGCTACTCAGTGATGGGTCATTCGAAATCCTTGTGCTGAAAGGGTATATTCGTCCTATGTGGTTTGGGACTCTAGGAGCTGTGTCTCAGCTTTATTCCAGATGTGGAATATCAGCCATATGAATGTCTGGATAGAGATGTCAAGTTTTGGGGCCTTGAGCGGGCTAGACGCCTTTGCGTCATTTGGACTATGAAAAGGGCTATCTGATTGATGAATGAACTTACGATACTCTCGTGTTTTCCATCTCGACCCTTCCCCGACTGCAAGTCAAGTGCCGCTGTGTGGCACAGGTGGCTGGCTGGCATTACGTACTGGTTCGAGGAATTCCCATCCCCTTCGGATACAGCAAGAGGCTAACAAAGATCCCAACGTCTTCAAGAAACCTGTTTGACGGGTCTAGACCAGGCGGCTCTCTGGGTGCAGATTTTTACCCAGATAGATGCTCCCAAGGTATTTGAGGATGGAATATAACGGCAGTTAGTTCTCTCTATGTGGATTCCGCAGGGGAATAAAAAGCACAGAGTTGTCTCTTAGCAACTAGGTTATTTTTACTTACTTGTTATTTTCTCTACTTCTCCTTTAATCTTCTCTTTTATTCTTCTCTTTTACTCTTTTTTTTTATGATTCTCTTTTACACTTCTCCTCTCCTTGTATTCTTCTCTGCTGCTCTGCACCTTATACCCAACTATTCACCAAGGGACCCGAGTGTGCGTACTAGAGATGTTTGCAATGGCTAGACTCGTCTTGCTGAGTTGGCTCCTCCTCGGTGAGTTTCGGAGGCACTCTCAACGTGGCCTATTGCAGTTCTCGCTAATGGATGCGGCAGTTGTCACTACCTGGGCCGTTCCACAGGGAGGAGGCAACAGTGACTGTGCACACTGGTGCCAAGACAATTTTTCGCCGTGTTGGAGAAATGTTGGGCAATGTGCTTCGGCTGCAGCACATAATAACTTTCAGTGCTGCTGTCCAGAGGTGCGTGTCTTCTTCGTAAAACATGATTTTGTGCTCCACAATCTGCAAAGCTGACCACTGTACGGGAGAGATGACAGTGCGTATCTCCCAAGACTTGTCAGAATCACCAGTGTGTGTGCCCGCCTGGTGGCGGTAACTGCGGACCTCAATGCGTTAAAGTAGGTACAATCTCTCTGTTGTACATTGAGACTATGGAGCTGACTAGCTGCAGTGCACGCCTCCTAAAACTTGCCACTATGGTGTATGCAGGTAATCAGAGCACAGTAAGAGGGATGGAACCTGTGAAGACTGGTGTGTAACTGTACGTGAATTCCTTCAAGTAAACCATGACTTTATGCTCTGTTCGCTGTGAAGCTGACCAGTTGAGATGTTATAATGCAGCGTCCCCCCGGGAAGTACTGCAGATATGCAGATGAAGCTACAGGCATTGCGATGGGGATATTGGGGCATTGATGACAGTATTGGTATAGTGGACGATATTTCAGGGTGCAGCTTTCATTTTCTTCCTCCTTGCGCGGTAGCCGCTTCCTGCTCGCCTACCGGGTTGATCCATCTCCTACGTGCTGTGAGAAGCTGTGGCTCATTCTACGCGCAAGCAAGTTGAGAAAGTTGAGTGAGACTTCAGAGTGAATTTTCATCATTCCTTTTTTTCCTCTGCAGATTTCGCTCTGCAGGTGGGACAGTAATGGATCATATATGCAGGCTGCCATTCCTTCTACGGGCAAGCAAACTCAAAAGTTGACAATCAATTTGGGACAATTAAGACATGGCATAATTTAACTCGATGACGATTTGGATATTTTGGTATAATTACACAATCTTTATCTGTCGCTGAGAGTTATGTGATACTATTTCCAAGATTGCCAAATCCTGACTAATGTGAGACTTGAAAGTGAAATAATTACTTTCGTTGAAAATAGGGGGAGTGAGGCATTTTGTCAACTAGATTTCTGAAGCCTTGAACTAAACTAAATTAACCAAGTTATGGGCTGGAGGTATTATCTACCGTACATCGCTTGCTAGCGTTAACTCGTCTACATCCCGATCTCTCGTCGGCCTCGTTGCCGCCCAGCGGTGCCAAATTTTATAGAGCGTGAAGCCCAAGTCACTATCCAGACGCCCTCCTGGGTTGAGTTTTCAAAGTACCGAGATGTACTCACCAAAGTTCGCAAAAATCCGGTCAAGAGGATCCTGCATTCGGTCCCAGCCGACATCCAGTCGGGGACCCTCACAGCCATTGTTGGGTCAGCGGATCAGGCGAGACGACGCTTCTGAACGCTCTGGCCGAGAGGGTAAGCAGTTCGAGGCTGAATCAAGAGAAAACGATGCTTTCAATGGACAAAGAGGGATTACAGTCCGTACAGAGGCGTAATGTCAACGTGTCATTCGAGGCTTTACGTGACGCTTCAGATTCGTAAAGTATCGCACGTGAAGTGTCCTCGCTTAACGCCGTTAAACGTGCTCGTATACGGCTTATAACCTGTCCTGGACTTTTAGTGCATTACGTGGCCTTATTTTATACACACGTCCCAGTTAAACTATAACTAACTGGGAATATTATTTGATTATTTATAAAATATACTCCGTGTCTCTATCCTGTCTTGCAGATGCCGCCAAGGGCACGACAGATTGAAAAGTATCGCTCAGCTGTGCGTGCTCGAAGTTTTTGGCAGCGCTTGCCGGGTCGCTCAGCATTGGCGCCGCATCCTCGGAGGTACAGATTACGTCGACGTGGCCTACAAGCGGCCCTGGCGAAAGAGATAGTCGGGCCGATGCCTCAATTTGTCTCGTCGGCGTATAACAACGGCCCGTAAATGACTGTCGTGTAGAAGCAGCTGATGCTCGAGGTCGCTCGCGATCGTCATTCGCATCTCCTACCATAGATCTAGCCAAGGGAGACGGCGAAGCATGCGCGGTATCAATGAACCCTTCTAGGTAAGCTATATTACTTGATGCTTGATTGTCCTTGGTCCTAGGCCATCATCCCAAGTTGACATGCTGGGGCTTTTCCCGCGGACAGGCTTCCGACTATCCTGGAAAGTGGTGCTCGCCGGGGTTGACCGATTCGACACATGCGCACGATGTTTCTGCAACTCACCACCATGGCTGTTATACTCTCCGTGGGATTCCTCGTCGGATGATATTAATATAATCTTGTTCATTTTCGCTGTCTGGTCGTCGGACACACGACTACTTGACGTTACACGCGACGGCGTTCGTTGTACGTGACGGGTTTTCAGCGCTATCTGGCAACAAAGATTTCTGCTATTAGGAGAGTGGATATTTGCTGCTAGGATGTTTCACTTGGAAGTGCGT